AAAAAGATTAAACTTTATTAATAATTGTTGCTCTTGGTCCACACACTGGCCTTTTTTTTGAGATAATAGTACAGTAAAAACAATATTTGTAAGAATATAAAGCTAAAAATAAACTCTAAGAGGTAGCCTACTTGTTTTTTAATCAAAAGAATGTTGCATTAAACAATATAACTGACATTTCTGATGTTCATAAGTATACATATGATTTATTTTTTTAATACATGGAAATGAAAAGTCTTATGAATAAAATCTCTTCATCATCAAAATGACACTACTGTAAAGACCTTAAAATTTTTGGTAATAATCTAATTGCTAACAGCAGTAAAATGCAGGTATAACATAGCCAGTCCACCTTTAAAGATAGGTTTAATTTTTTAGTGTCAAATTAAACAAAGGAATTTATTAATTAGTGTTTCTAATGAATCCTCATGTATTTTCATGTATGAACAGTCTGGATAAACAAAAAAAGAATTTTGACCTCTCTTGATTGGAATTGGAATTGAGCTGGTAATTCTCATCTAATTTAGCTAATTATGAATTAATTGTGGACAGGTTAGACAAACTGGTATTTTTCCAAGTCATTAGAACACTTCTGCTTTCTATTCATATAGGTATTAACATTTTCATTTTCATAAATGAAAATAAGGGAACCCATCTTTAAACACACTCACAATAATGATTCGATGTACTGGAAAATCAAGTTCATAGTTAAACCATAACTTCTTTTTCACCCTTATCCACTTTGTCAGTTGACTTCACTGAATCTATTTTAGAATTAGATGGACAACTGTTTGATGAGGATTGCGGTGGATGACAAGTGAAACTTTGATGTGAATTTCCGGTAGAGTTATCTATATTGGTAGAAATCTGGAGACTAGCTGAAGGGGGAGAAGAAGGTGGACTGCCATTTTGTATAGGATTATCACTGTCTTTCAGAGAAGAAGTAGACTTTGCTGTACAGATAATGTCTTTTGATTTCACAGGGGCAGGGGAATTTTGTTTTGATGACTTAAAATCCTTGTCTTGCAGATCTGGCCTACTTCGTCTTTGTGAATCTTTGCGACTGATGCTGTTTCTAGATTTGATACTTTTAGTCAAACTAGAACGACTATTTGATAAATGACGATCTGCTTTCATTACAGCTTCCTCTAACAAAATACTTGCTGATAGGCGGCTAAAATTTGCTAATTTTGCCATCTGACGTAATTCAGCTGACTGATTAGGTCCTGTCTGCTCAACCAAATTTGTAAAGTATCCATCATCATCCAGTAGTAGATTATAAGGTGTATCAAATTCCTTTACTTCACCATCAGATAAAACCTAGAAAATGATCAACTAAAACTTAACGGGGTCTTGGAATTATAAATGACCATATCTGACAGGAATAATACCGACAGAAAGTTATAATGATAATACTAAGACTTATACTTGACTGAGATGGATCAGCAGTCAAATGGAATACCAATAGTTTATAGTGAGCTCTAAATATGCTTGTTATCAAACTACCTGATATCCAGCAATGTCATTTGACAAAAAAGGCTTTAAGTGTAAATTAGAAAACTGCTAACATTAATTATGTCAAGCTCACCATAGACTTACAATATACAGACATTTGCAAGTAATATTTAAGGTTGTTGCCTTCTTGATACTTATTTGAGCAGTAAAATGATCACTTACCAGTATTCTATCGCAGTCCATCACTGTATGTAATCTATGAGCTATAGTTAAAACTGTACTATTTATAAATTTAGCTCGGATTGTACCTTGAATTAAGTCATCAGTTCTGTAATTAAAAGAAGAATTTCATATTTTCTATAGACATGAATTAGTTTCATATACACAAGTTGTATTGATATGTTGCCATGGAATTCTGATAATTGAATATTATTGTAGGCTTTTTAGTAAATACGTACTGTGAATCCACATGTGCTGTAGCCTCATCTAAAACTAATACCGTATTATATCTTAATAATGCTCTAGCTAGACAAACCAGTTGTCTTTGTCCAATACTAAAATTTTGACCAGCTTCAGACATCTCCATATATAAATTATCTTGTGTTTTTGCTACCTTTTCTCTCAGTTGTACCTAAATAGAATACATATATAGACCAAATCAGTATTATCAATGTTGATCACAAGTTATATGATAGAAAAAATATTTGCACAAATAAAAAAAATTACTTGTCTGATTATAATGACAGATATGTTTACAATTTATATAAACTAAGTAATAAGATGCTCCTCTTTCATTTTAACAATAGTTTGTTGTATTCCATGAACTGTTTTCTTTTGACAAATCTAATCTTTGAGATAATGTTGCAAATTTTTGACGTCCTTTTTTTGACATGTTTTCAACTTTATTCAAATCTTTAAACAATTCATTTCAATAAATCTAAATCTAATTAATAATGGATTTTGTATATTGGCGAAGAAGTCTATACCTGATCCAGAGCGTTCCAGAGTCTTTCATCACTATATTCATCAAAAGGATCTAGATTATATCTTAAAGTTCCACTAAATAATACTGGGTCCTAAAAATAGAGATAAATAAATAGAGATAATCCATGACAGATCAATGCTCAGAAGTTTAGCCAATAACAGGTGGAATATGAAAAATTCTTGTTTAATTCTTTCAATGAAAACACCTACTTGTGGTATGACAGATATTTTCTTTCTCAATTCATCTAGTCCAATCTGTAATACATCCCAACCATCTATAAATATTTTACCATTAGGTTCAGCTAATCTGAATAGAGCTGACATTAGAGAACTTTTACCTGCTCCAGTACGTCCAACAATACCAATCTGAAAATATTACCAAGTTTATGG